TGCCTTCGGATGAGTCCGTAGAGTCGAGTGGCCCGTACCCAGAGCTTGTTGGCTGTCTCATGTACCTGATGACCTGCACACGACCTGACCTTGCATACCCTCCTAGCATTCTTGCACGCTATGTTGCTCCTGGGAGACACCGACCAGAGCACATGGCTGCAGCGAAGAGAGTGTTGCGCTACTTGTGCAGTACGTCGGGCATGGGGCTAGTGCTTGGAGGCCGGAGTCCAGTGGTCCTCACTGGACACGCAGACGCTTCTTGGGCTGACGACCAGGCTACGCAGCGGTCGTCACAGGGTTACACCTTCAGCCTTGGTTCCGGCTCTGTTTCGTGGCGGGCTACTCGCTCGTCTTCTGTTCTTGGCTCCAGTTGTGAGGCTGAGATCTACGCAGGGGCCATGGCTGCTCAGGAGCTTCGCTGGCTCACCTACCTGCTGACCGGCCTTGGAGAGCCGCCTCGTTCTCCTCCAGTCCTGTGCGTCAACAACAAGGCCATGTTGGCCTTGTGTCGGGAGCAGAGACTAGAGCACAGAACAAAGCACATTGCTCTCCGCTACTTCCTTGCTCGTGAGCTACAGCAGCGTGGTCAGTTGCGACTTGCGTACGTGGCCTCTGAGGCCAACACTGCTGATGTCTTCACCAAGGCACTTCCGCCTTGTGATCATCAGCGCTGCTGTACCCAGCTGGGTCTTGTGTCTGTCTTGCCTCACTTGCTCTCCTCTTGACCCTCTTTCACAGTTACATATATATATCACTGCTCTTGCTTGTTTAGTCTTATATATATATCTGTACTCCTGCATGTGAACTGGCCTTGTGGCCTTGCACTTGTGCTTGGATCGTGTGGTGACGTTGTGATCCACCCTGAGCTTGCTTTGTTTTGCTTTACTTGACTGGTCTTGTGACCCCTAGTTCTCCCCCACTTCGCCTATGGGGGTGTGTCAAACATTATATATGTTGTTGTAGTTGTTTAGGCTACAGTGGGTTAGCCTATAGGGGGTACACATTCCTAGGTTTTGATACTTGTACTCATTTCACTCTTAGTTCATTCATTCTTGTTCAACACAGCCAACCGTACAGCGCCAGTTCAGATTGACACAGCCCGAGCTCGACGAACTAAGGAAGCAGTTAGATTACTTGTTAGAGAAAAAATTCATCAAACCGAGCTCGTCACCGTTCGCCGCACCGATACTATTCACGCCGAAAAAAGACGGGGGTTTTCGCATGTGTATCAACTACAGAGCATTGAACACGGTAACAGTCAAGCCGCGGTACCCCATTCCCTGCGCCGACGAACTGATCGACCAACTGCGAACGGCACGGGTTTTTCCGAAAATATCTTTACGGGGAGGCTACCATCAGATTAGGGTCGAACCATCGGACTGCACCAAAACAGCTTTCAGGACTAGGTACGGGTTGTTCAACCATTTAGGCCGCTCTTAGATAATGTGTAATAGTTTACCTCGACGACATCCTAGTGTACAGTCTGTATAAGCAGCAGCACTTAGCAGATATGGAAGCAGTGTTTAAGGTTTTAGACGAGCACAGATTAATGACCGAGGGTTCCAAGTGCGAGTTCTTCCATGATAGGTTAGAATTTTTTGGGCACGTTATTTCGGAGGCTGGAGTTGAAATGGACCCAAAGAAGCTGGATACGGTAAAAGCGTGGCATCCCCGACAAACATCACGGAGCTGCAGAGCTTTTTAGGGTTCGTTAATTATGTGCGTCGGTTCGTTCCCGATATGGCACGGTTAACTGCCCAACTGACGGATTTACTGCGGAAGGGGGTCGTTTTTACATGGGGGGAGAAAGAGCATGCTGCCTTCTCTACCGTGAAGAATGTTCTCTGTTCACCGCCCGTCCTGCGCATCGCCGACCCACACCGCCCATTCGAAGTAGTTACCAACGCAAGCGATATCGCCATCGGAGCCGTACTGCTACAGGATTTCGGCAATGGCCTACAGCCTATCGCATACGAGTCACGAAAACTGCATCCGCCCGAGAAAAATTACCCGATACACGACCGCGAAATGCTTGCGATCGTGCACGCATTCAAAGTATGGCACTGTTACTTGACTGGCACGGACGTGACAATACGGACAGACCATAAATCACTACAGTACCTTTACGCACAGCCACACCTCAACCCACGACAGATTCGCTGGCTCGATTTCCTCGAGTCCAACTTTCACTACACGGTCACTTACAAAAAGGGAGCCTCAAACATCGCCGACGCACTGACCCACCCCACTGCCCAGATCCACGCAATACTACTCGCCCAGACAAGCCCGCTACTGACAGGCCTATTCACCCACGGGTACCAATCGGATCCATTATTCACAGGAGGAAATTTGTAGCAGTTCGCAGCAGCAAAGGGAGTCTATTACGTAAAAATCGGGACTGACCGCATTTGGGTGCCTGGGTATACACTGATACGGGAATTACTGTTATAGGAGGCACACGACGGAGTTACCTCGGGACATTTCGGAGTAGAAAAAGCACGGCAGCAGCTGCAGCGGTATTATTACTGGCCCGAAATGTTGACCGACGTACAACGACACGTGGCATCGTGTCCCACTTGTCAGCTCATAAAATCATCACGACAGCGGCCGGCGGGACAGTTGCAGCCGATACCACCCCCAGAGCGTGCTTGGCAGCAGGTGACGATGGACTTCATCACGGGGTTACCGGCCGGGGCAAGTGGAAACGACGCGATTCCGGTCGTCGTCGATCGACTGACGAAGATGGCACATTTTGCAGCCTGCAAAAAATCAATCACAGCCGAAGAAACAGCACGCCTCTTCATCTCCACCGTCGTTCGACTGCACGGGATACCAGCCGCGATCATCAGCGACCGCGACACGAAATTCACCAGCAACTTCTGGCGGAATCTGTGGCAGCAGTTCGGCACGCGACTGTAGTTCAGTTCATCATACCACCCCGAAACCGACGGACAGACAGAACGGACAAATCAGACCATGGAACAGCTCATCAGGGCCACATGTGACGACCCGACCACGTGGGAACAGCAACTACCACTAATCCAATTCGCGTACAACAACTCGCCATCCGCCACGACCCAACAGTCACCATTTTACCTAAACTACGGACAAGACCCGACAGTACACATGACCCCGAATCCCGACATCCCAGAACCACGAGCACAACAGTTCGCCGAAATATCACAAGCGGCACGGACCCGGGCAGCAGACGCAATAAAAAAATCGAACATCATCGTTAAACGCAGTGCCGACCGCCACTGCAAACCTGTCACTTACCAGCCTGACGACTTAGTTTTACTTGACACTCAGAACCTCCGACTGCCCATCACCCCGAAACTCCGCCCCCGATACTGCGGGCCATTTCGCGTAAGCCACATGCTTACACCCGTCACCGCCCACCTCCTCCTCCCTGCTGACTGGTACGTCAGCCCCTCATTCCATGTCAGCCTGCTTCGCCCTTACGTCCCGTCCACGAGCCAACTGCCACGCAATCGCCCAGCCAGCATGACAAGACCACCAACTGAACCAATCATCACCCCCGAAAAAATCCTGAGTCACAGAGTTCGCGACCCTTGAGGAGCCCGAAGGATCGAGTTCTTACTCCGCTGGAAGGACCGTACACCCACCGAAGACAATTGGGTTCCCCTAGACAGAATCGAAAACCACCCCGTCCTCACCGAGTATCTGCGCAGCCGAAATTTCAGGGATGTATACGCACTTTCGTAAGGAGGACCTCCGCAAGGGGGGGGGGGGTAAGTGTAAGGAAAATTCCTTTTCCTTACTTCGCATCCCTGCTCAACGGGTAAATCACTGTAGCACCACAGTCAGCACCGTTACCACTCGCAACCCTCGCATCGACAATCCGCCTGCCAACTTCGCACATCGCACCCCGACCTCACGGCTCAACGGGTAACCCGCGCTCCGGGCCTCCGCTTCGGCACTTTTTCCCAACCTCAGTCCCAGGCCCGTCGCGCCAGGGCCTGTGCTAGGATTTAGGGCACCCTGAGCCCTCAGGGCAACTTTTGAAAACTCTCCAAAATGCCCTGATTTTTCAGGGCAAAATTTCCTGGCAATCCTGAAATTTCAGGGCACCAGCAGAAATTCATCCGGATGTTTCAGGGCAAAAAAAATACAAGACACTAGAGTGGAGGGGAAGCCACGAGAGGAGCAGGTTGTTCAGTGGTTTCACTACAATGGGCTGAGCAAAAACCTTGGGGGGGGGGGACAAAACTAGCACACACACCCCCGAGCCTCCCTCCTCCCCTCTCCCCCTCTCCCCCCCTCCCCTCCACCCCTTCTTCCCCTTCCCATGAGTCAGGGCATCCCTCTACATTCACCCTAACGCTTCAGGGCAAAATCTCACTGCCATTCTGAAATTTCAGGGCAAAACACATGAATCATCCTGACGTTACAGGGTAAATTTCATCGTCATTCTGAAATTTCAGGGCAAACTTAAAACACCATCCTGAAATCAGGGTAATCAGGATGTTTTGCCCTGATATCGTGGGCCCTGCGTCGCGCGACAACTATAGCTACGCTATATATTCTTCTCTCATGCCGCGGTCCTCTCCATCCCTCCATTACCGTTACCACTATAGCTATGCTATATATTCTTCTCTCGCGGCCCTCTCCATCCCTCCATTACCGTTACCACTATAGCTACGCTATATATTCTTCTCTCATGCCTTCGCTCATTGGACTCTTGCTTAGATAGTGCAATTCTCGTTCGTTCACTCAATTGCACTCGTAATAGTAATAAACATCAACCTGAGTGAAAGCAGACTTGCATCTAGACCACTTAGGTACCACCATTGCATATAAATTTAGCGTGCTTTCCCTATCGCCACGACGATAGAGTCCGGAGAGTAGAGTTTCCGGCCCCCCACACGTACACATAAGCCTCGTCGTATGTTGCTGGCGATATCTTCTGCTAGCTCGCGAAGTCATAAACGGCGATTTAGATCGTTTTCCCGACGTCGCTGCCTTATCGCCGAGTCGCCATGTCGCAACCGCCTCCCCGACTCCCGAGTTTCTCATCCTCCTCAGCCTCTTGCCTCCCCGCTGCTTCGCGCTCCGACCATGCGACCTCCTGTGCCGTCTCGCCTCCTCATCGGCGCATCGCCGCCACATCGCCGCCACCTCGCACTAAGTGTTCCCTAATCCGCTAAACTCGCATCCGTGCTACTGAGCGCCCCCGGCTTTGCGCCTCGTCATCAGCGCATCACAGCAAAATCGCCGCCTCGGCCCCTCGCGTTCTCATCGGCGCGCCGCCTCCTCGTCGCCTCCAAGTCGCACTTCCCCTTCCCGCCAGGTCGCACCTCCCCTTTCCCCCACGTCTCACTTCCCCTTCCCCCCAGGTTGCTCCTCCCCTTCCCCCCAGGTCGCTCCTCCTTCCCCCCAGGTCGCTCCTCCCCTTCCCCCCAGGTCGCACTTCCCCTTTCCCCCAGGTCGCACTTCCCCTTCCCCCCAGGTCGCACCTCCCCTTCCCCCCAGATCGCTCCTCCCTTTCTCCCCAGGTCGCACTTCCCCTTTCCCCCACATCTCACTTCCCCTTCCCCCTAGGTCGCTCCTCCCCTTCCCCTCCAATCCCTTCTATTCCTTTCGCTTCCCTTCCCTCCCCTTCCCTTCCCTTCCTCATCCCATGCCTCTCATCTCATCTCAAGCCTCTCATTCGAAGCCTCTCATCCCATGCCTCTCATCCCATGCCTCTCATCCCATGCCTCTCATCCCATGCCTCTCATCCCAAGCCTCTCATCCCAAGCCTCTCATCCCAAGCCTCTCATCCCAAGCCTCTCATTCGAAGCCTCTCATCCCATGCCTCTCATCCCATGCCTCTCATCCCATGCCTCTCATCCCATGCCTCTCATCCCAAGCCTCTCATCCCAAGCCTCTCATCCCAAGCCTCTCATTCGAAGCCTATCATCCCATGCCTCTCATCCCATGCCTCTCATCCCAAGCTTCTCATCCCATGCCTCTCATCCCAAGCCTCTCATCCCAAGCCTCTCATTCGAAGGCTCTCATTCGAAGGCTCTCATCCCATGCCTCTCATTCGAAGCCTCTCATCCCATGCCTCTCATCCCAAGCCTCTCATCCCAAGCCTCTCATTCGAAGCCTATCATCCCATGCCTCTCATCCCATGCCTCTCATCCCAAGCTTCTCATCCCATGCCTCTCATCCCAAGCCTCTCATCCCAAGCCTCTCATTCGAAGGCTCTCATCCCATGCCTCTCATCCGTCGCCTCTCATCCCAAGCCTCTCATCCCATGCCTCTCATCCCAAGCCTCTCATCCCAAGCCTCTTATTCGAAGCCTCTCATCCCATGCCTCTCATCCCATTCCTCTCATCCCATGCCTTTCATCCCAGTCGCACCAAGCCCTCTCACTTCATCACCTGCCCTCAGCCTAGCCTGCTCTCACACCATACTCTCACATCATCAACTCACCCTCTGCTCTCCTATCTGCTGCGCTGCTTGGGCGTGCCAAGGAGGGGCAAGGGGGCGGCAGCAAGGCAAGCGAGGGAGATGGTGGCATGGGAACTGGCAGTCCAAACCTCCCTTAGCCACCTGCTCAACAATGGCTGTTTCTGTTGCCCCTCCTGCTGATGCTTCTGCTGCTGGTTTGCCTTCACCTGCGCCCTTGGGACCTCCTCGCCTCTCATCTCAACCTCGCCAAGCAAGCCACCTCTTTTCCTGCAGCTGCGAGCACTGCTGCTACCACTGCTCTTGCCAGTACTGCTGCTGCTGCCACTGCAGCATCTGAGAATGCTCAAGAGCAAGAACAATCAAGTACGATTTCATTTCTTTTAAGGCTAATGTGTGCCTCATTGTGCCATCCAATGGCTGATTACCGGTATAACATATTGATACTGTGCTCAAGTTGCTGCTCATGCTGTTGTCACGGTACCCTCTTGGTTTTGTGTGAAACTCCTATCCAAATCACACAAAAAGATGCAAACATTTTAGAACCATACATTTAGTGAGATGTGAGTACATATAATACGGTATAAGCATGTTATCTCAGGATAGGGAGGGATGCCTTTGCTCCGTTTTGAATCTGCTGACGGTCCCTCTACGCCAGGGCCTGTGCTAGGATTTTGGACACCCTGAGCCCTCAGGGTAACTATTGAAAAATCTCTGAAATGCCCTGATTCTTAAGGGCAGAATTTTCTGGCCATCCTGAAATTTCAGGGCACCAGCAGAAATTCATATGGATGATTCAGGGCAAAAAATACGAGGCACTAGAGAGGATGGAGGGGAAGGCACGAAAGGAGCAGGTTGTTCACTGGTTTCACTTCTACTGGCGGAGCAAAAACATTGGTGGGGGAGGGGTGAGGACAAAACTAGCACACACACCCTCCAGCCTCCTTCCTCCCCTCTCTCCCTCTCCCTCTCTCCCCCCTCCACCCTTTCTCCCCTTCCCACGAGTCAGGGAATCCCTCTACATTCACCCTAACGCTTCAGGGCAAAAATTCACTGCCATTCTGAAATTTCAGGGCAAAACACAAGGATCATCCTGACGTCACAGGGTAAATTTCAGCATCATTCTGAAATTCCAGGGCAAACTTAAGACACCATCCTGAAATCAGGGTAATCAGGATGTTTTGCCCTGATATCGTGGGCCCTGCTCTACGCAATGTAGCCTCTCTGGGCCTCTGACATGCTGAAAGCAGGAGCAAGAAGAGGCGGCACATCCATGCACCTTGTCTGAGCCAGTGTCATGCTTGCCTGCGGTGGTGAGGGGTGAGGGGATGGGACGGGGAGTGAGGAGATAGGACAGGGAGTGAGGAGATAGAACAGGGAGTGAGGAGATAGGACAGGGAGTGAGGAGATAGGGCAGGGAATGAGGAGATAAGACAGGGAGTGAGGAGATAGGGCAGGGAGTGAGGAGATAGGGCAGGGAATGAGGAGATAGGACAGGGAGTGAGGAGCTAGGGCAGGGAATGAGGAGATAGGACAGGGAGAGAGGAGATAGGGCAGGGAATGAGGAGATAGGACAGGGAGTGAGGAGATAGGGCAGGGAATGAGGAGATAGGACAGGGAGTGAGGAGATAGGGCAGGGAGTGAGGAGATAGGGCAGAGAGTGAGGAGATAGGGCAGGGAGTGAGGAGATAGGACAGGGAGTGAGGAGAAAGGGCAGGGAATGAGGAGATAGGACAGGGAGTGAGGAGATAGGGCAGGGAATGAGGAGATAGGACAGGGAGTGAGGAGATAGGGCAGGGAATGAGGAGATAGGACAGGGAGTGAGGAGATAGGGCAGGGAATGAGGAGATAGGACAGGGAGTGAGGAGATAGGGTAGGGAATGAGGAGATAGGACAGGGAGTGAGTAGATAGGGCAGGGAGTGAGGAGATAGGACAGGGAGTGAGGAGATAGGGCAGGGAATGAGGAGATAGGACAGGGAGTGAGGAGATAGGACAGAGAATGAGGAAATAGGACAGGGAGTGAGGAGATAGGGCAGGGAATGAGGAGATAGGACAGGGAGTGAGGAGATAGGGCAGGGAATGAGGAGATAGGACAGGGAGTGAGGAGATAGGGCAGGGAATGAGGAGATAGGACAAGGAGTGAGGAGATAGGGCAGGGAATGAGGAGATAGGACAGGGAGTGAGGAGATAGGGCAGGGAATGAGGAGATAGGACAGGGAATGAGGAGATAGGACAGAGAGTGACCAGGGGAAAAGAGAGTGAGCACGGGAGGGCGAGGGCGACGGGAGGGGGAAGGCGACGGCGGGGAAGGCGAGGTCGACGGGAGGGGGAAGGTGATGGCGATGGGAGGGGGAAGTCGACGGCGATGGGAGGGGGAAGGCGAGGTCGACGAGAGGGGGAATGCGAGGTCGACGGGAGGGGGAAAGCGAAGGGGGAAAGCGGGGTCGACGGGAGGGGGAAAGCGAGGTTGACGGGAGGGGGAAAGAGGGGTCGACGGGAGGGGGGAAGCGAGGTCGACGGGAGGGGGATGTAGAAGCGGCTCCTTCAGTCCCCCTCGCACCCCCTCCCTCCCCGTCGCTGCTCGCTCCAGCCCGCCACGCGCGCGAGATTGTTCCTTGCTCCCGTCCGCCCCTCCCGTCCTGCTACCTTGCGTCCACGCCTTGCGCTAAACCGCTACTGCCTCTCTTCCGCGCCTCCCGCGTAATCGCGGCTCACACCCGCGAAACGGAGCGAAGCACGGGAAACGGCGAGCATCGAGCGGAACCGCACGAGTGGCAACGCTGAAAGCGGGGTGCGGAAAGCAGGAGCGGAAGCGATGAGCTGAAAGCGGGGAGCAGGATGCAGCGAGCAAGCGGGTCGCGACCCGCTGGTTGCAACGAGCAACGCCAGTTCTGCGGCGACCGTCGCTGAGTGGGCTGCGACACGCAATGACTAGCGGACAGTCGAGCTTCGAGCTGCGAGCGGAAGGCGACGGCGAAACGCGACGATTAACGGACGATAAATGGCGTCAACACCATGACGAACGATGACTTGGAAGGCGAGCTATCGGCAAGTGACGAACTGCGACATTTGAACAAGTGGCGATTTATCCGTCTGTTTTGACGGATAGCGTGATGTTCTAAACTTTGTAACGCTTCCTAAGGCTAATTCGCCCGTCATTGGCAGGCCCTTAGCTTTTGTGGTTGGGTTGTCGTGGAGTGAGTTTTGGTACACAAACAGGGCTGTCGCTTGCTCTGGACCCAGAACTTAGCGGGCTAAGGTCCCCTAGATTCAGCCCCTATACCGGATTGAGTCATATTTTAACACTTAGATTCAGGGCTACATAACCTTCTGCACTTGAGCGTAAACACACCATGGAAGTTGATGATGCTCAAATACGTCTAAGGGCTGCGGTACTAGCAGATCTATTAGCCGATCTACTACTATTCAGCGAAGAGGGGAGAAGGTAAGGTTCTACGTAAGCAGGGGGACATATTACTATGGGAAACGAGGGGGTGGGGTGGTAGGTAGGGGCTCAGGCTATACGTGAAATCCTGGTTAGGCGCTAAGCCAGCCCGTAAGGAAACGGGCTGGCCTCAAAGTCAGCCATTGAATTCTCTGAGCTGGGCCCGAACTAGCCCTTGAATTCAAGGGTAAAAAGGGCAAATTTTCTTGTAGCGAAAGGCCTTTACACAAACTCCACTGTGGTACTTGCAAGTTCCCATCCCCATTTCCTTCGCGTACTACTGGCAGGGGGGAACACTCAGTCACTCTCCGCAGGGGTTGGGGCAAAAAAAAAAATTGTCACCTCCCACGCCCTACCGAAACCCGGTAACCATCCAGAGGCAAGTGATAAGCCTCTGCCTCCACCCCCCCCAAAGTGCACCCTTACTTTAAAGCTCGCGGCCCAAATTGTACAACTTTACTAAAGTTGCATGTTGGGAGGTGAGGGAGCAGGGTTGGCTAGTCGAGGTGTTGGGCGGGTTGAGGGCTTTGGTTTCGCCAAACTTCTCGCCATTCTCAAACACATTTCGCTGACTCAGTAGACCCCAGGGGCCACTTCGCGTTTGGTTGCATGAGTCCCATATTGCACAAATACTATCCTTGCCAGTTTCCCACCCAACCCCCTCCGCAAACACTGTTTCAATTTTGCTAGCCAATCAGCTCAGTGTTTCAAATTGACTAGCCAATCAACTTCCTTCGTACAACCCGTAACCTCAAATCGCAAAACCAGCACCTGCAAAACAACTATCAATCAACCTTACTAAGGATTCCCGCGATACTTTTTTGGTGTCCATACAGAGGACAATGATTCGTATTTGCCTGAAGCTTATTCTCGTTGGGTAACGGCATCTAACACCTAAGTCAGACTCCCAGTTCTATACTGGTTGCTGAGTCAATGCACTGTCAGCATGGTAACGTCACTATTACCAACAACCGCTGCAACTTCTCAAGGCTACCGAATACAATACTAAGGCATGAAATCCAAACTTCGCAAGCTGGCTTTGGAGGCTATTTCTCAAGAGTTCAGCTGGTTGTGGTGGATGTCTCATCATCACGCCATGCCTCCGAAAGCGAGACCTGCTAAATCTGCTAAGCCTGCTAACAAGATGGATCCTGCTGCTGCTGCTGCTACGCTTGTGATCCCGACCGCGGGTCCTTCATCAAGGTCGATCTCGGCCACTGTAGTTCCTTCGAAGTCGACACGTACGCTTTTTGCAGAAGATGATACAGAGTTCCTGACGTTGTTGGCCAAGTTGGCTGCTTTCCGGATTGAACAGGCTGCTGGTGGGAAGCACGACAACGGGAAAGGAAAAGATGCTGATTTTAAGGATGCAGTGTCGGATGCAGAGGAGGATCACTCTGCAGAAGAGGAAGATGGAGTCTCATCCGGTGCTGCTCAACGTACCTGCTTCCTTGATTATGAGGATGATGGCCTCATGGCTCATGACCCGAAGGAATGTTTTGAGGAGAAAGCGAAGGAGGAGCTGGCGGCGAAGCTGTGCTTCCCGCTCACCTTGCTGATTCCCAGTGATCACCTGCAGGAGGTTCGGCGCACGCAAGCGACGGTTAAGGAGTTGCTAAGGATATGGGAAAACTGTAATGAGCTTACGGAGAACGCGGCGAAAACTACGACCTTCCAGGATCTTAACCCGGGCTACATTGTGAAGAAGCTTTATGGCCGTATGCGAGTCGTTTTTGTCACTGCTTCTAACGCTAACTTCGTCTGACGTAATCGCATTGAACGTCAGTGTGTGGATGGGAAGTATATCTTCCTGGATTGGTTGTATCTGGAAGATCCAAGCTATACCAGGAGGAAGATTACTGACCCGCTGGTTATTGAAGTTCTCTTCCTGGGTGTTGCTACGCAGATATTTCCGAAGATGCTCCACGAAGCGCTTGCGGTCTCTCCGCTAAAGATCTGCAAGCGTCCAACTATCAAGTCTGGCTTCTGCTTCCACCGTGTGGTGCACCCTGTTTCGGGATTGGATACGGATTGGGTTAAGGGACTGGTCGTTGCGCATGAGAATGACAAATTTTGGTGGCTGCATTTCTTCGAGAATCCGATCTCGCCAGGCTCGAAGATCATGGTGCACTACCCAGCTTTGAAATGTTCGCTCTGCGGGGGAATGCATTCGGTGCATAATCGTAACGACTTTGTTACTGAACGATAGAACAACATCTCCAAGTGGAACCTCACAGTGGAGAGGATCCAGGAGCTCAATGGTAGAGATGGTGCTTGCTGCTTCCCTCTTTCTGTTGTTGATGTCTTTCCTCCACCGACGGTGTCTGATATCCAGCTGCTTACCTCTCCTTCGTGCAGCGGCTGCGATAGTAGAGCACGTGCAGCAGAGTTACATTTTTCAGAGATGCGCTGGGTCCTTTTCTCACGAGTCTGGCGGGACGGAGCCCTTTGCTACTAGCAGGTGACCTCAATGTGGTGGAGGATCCGCTCCTGGATAAATCCCCGGTGGGGGGGGCCGGCAGGGGAGAATGACAGGCTGATGCATCTATTCGGAGGTCTCCTCATGTCTGACGCGCTCTGCGCGCTGAACCCCGGCGCTCGAGAATACACCTTTTACGCGAGACCGATGAAGTCGAGTTCACAGATTAACCGGATTCTGGTGTCGGCTGAGTTGCTCCCCGCGGTGGTTGAAGCTTCCCACATTCGGTCGTTGAGGGGCATCTCGGACCATAAGTGTGTCGTTAAGGTGGTGCTAGAAGCGAACCTGAGACTGCACATGGGCCCAGGCATCTGGCGGTTAACATCTACAGACACGGCGAAGCCAGGGGTGGAGAAGGTAATCAAGGCGGTCACGAAAAAGCATCATGAGAAAGGGTCCAGAAATTTCGGCTCTCTGCTTATCACATTGAAGGCGCCGCTCAGGAGATACGCGACGGAGGAGCGGAAGCGTGAGCTTGCGACGTTACGGCACCTGGAACTTGCGGTCTCCGGCTTGCAGCAAGAGCTGCTGCGGGAGCCTCATCGTGATGACCTGCGCGTACGTCAGGCTGAGAGAGAGTCACAGTTGGGAGCATAACTAAAAAGAGAAAATGAACGGTTGAATCTCTTGGCGAGGGTCAAGGAAGAAACGAAAGGGGAGATTGCATCGAAAGTTTCATCAGCGAAAGTAAAGTCGAAGAAGGCGCGGGCGATGATTACCGCGTTAACATCACAGGGGTTGGAGCAGAGTGGGACGAGGGGGATCCTGGAGGCTGCTTCCAGTTTCTGCTCGTCGCTATTCGCGGAGGCCCCTCCGTCGGGTCTGCCCTGCTGGACACCTGACCTGCGGAAAACACTTTGAGAGAGTGAAGTGGCTGGGCTAGAAGTCGAGTGGTTCGAAGAGGAGGTGAAGGCAGCGTTGAAAGGAATGGCGGAGGACAAATCTTCAGGCAGCGACGGGTTGCCGAAGGAGCTTTTTGAGCGTCACTGGGACCTGCTGTGTCAGAATCCCAACCACTAGACCATTGGGATAAAAGGGCTTGTTTCAGTAGCGGGTCAGTGCGCCCATAACCCCCCAGGCAAACGCGCCTGTAACCCCCCCTAGGATCGATCGGGGATCTCACAGTGTAGCTCTACTGACACCCCCCCACACTGGGAGGCCCAAGACTGAGCACAGTGGCAACGACCAACATGTGCATACACCGGGATTCGAACCCGAGACCGCTCTGATACCATGTTAGAATCCCAACCACTAGACCATTGGGATAAAAGGGCTTGTTTCAGTAGCGGGTCAGTGCGCCCATAACCCCCCAGGCAAACGCACCTGTAACCCTCCCTAGGATCGATCGGGGATCTCACAGTGTAGCTCTACTGACATGTTGAAGGGCGACTTCATGGGTTTTGTAAATCAATTGGAGGCGTCTGCGGTACTCCCGAAGGAAGTGCAGGAGGCGGTAACCATCCTGCTGTATAAGAAGGGACCAATGGAGCAAATACAGAATTATAGGCCCATCACTCTTATGACGAGCTCGTACAAGGTGGTGGCGAAGCTACTTGCTAACCGCATGAAGAAGGTTCTGAGCACGGTTATCTCCAAGGAGCAACAAGGTTTTCTCCCTGGAAAGCAACAAATTGGGCGTGAGCAGGGGCTCTTGGAGGAGTTTGGAGCTCGCTCAGGGTTGCGGGTCAACAAGGAGAAGTCGGCGTTGCTTCCGCTGGGGAAGAACTTGAAAAAAGAAAAAGACGTGGAGTCAGGCTTTGCGTGGGTCGAGCCAAATGACGCGGAGAGATTACTGGGAATATGGGTCTCTCCTTCGGGGAGCGCGGAAGTCACCTGGGACAAGACGCTTGCCAGAGCAGCGGAGGAACTCACTAAATGGACGTCACGACATCTTACCACAACGGCGAGGGTGGCAGAGATTAACGCATACGTCTGCCCGATCTTAGCTTTCCAGGGCCAGGTCTACCCTTCGTCTCGGGCAATCGAGCGTCGGTGGAGCAGCACTTTACGCTCTGGAGCACGGAATTGATTTTCAGGCCGCGGAAGGACGGCGGGCTAGGTGTGCGTGACCCGTTCGTTGAAATCAGTGGTTTGGCTGCAAGACGAGTAAGTCTTCTAGTGCAGAACAGTGCGGGGGTCCGCAGATGCTGGCGATGAAAGCGGCAGACCTTCCGGCAGGCTTCCGCTCCTTCTGGGCGCATGAGGAGTTTATGAAAACCTGAAAGGGGCGCAATGTGAGGTGGAAGCAGACGTGTGAGGCTTTTATGAAGACGAGCATCGCAAAGAAGGGACCATTATCGCGATGGGACATTGCCCAGGACCCACTGGTGTTTAACTGGCAGATCTTGCCGAACGGGAAGAAGCCGGTGGGGCGGCAGAAGGCGGTGAAGGGCTTGGAGCTGATCAAGCTAGGCGGCTTTGTCGGCCTTGCAAATGACGGTGTGCGTTTTTTCAAAGACGAGAAGATGCTTGAGAAAGAGCTCGGCACGCTTGAGAAAGCGCGGAAGGCGCTTAAGATTTTCAGCAGCGTGCTGGACTCCTAGAAGCAGAAGCTGCTCGCGCTTGTCACGGGGTCGGAACTCCTGGTGGAGTCGGCGTTCGTGAAAAAATCAGGTGTGGCGTGTTGAGGCTAAGCCCTACACGCGCCTGGTTTCGCGTCTAGCAGCTCTATGCGGAGTAGCGAGACTTCGCATACCGCATACCAGTTTTACCAGTGTTGCGGTATTCACCAAGTACACTCCAATCTGTGGGCTTCGGTATGCGCATTTCGGCATTGGACCAGGGAAGTGACGACATTGCACAAACGAGTATGTGCAACTGTCTGTTGCGAGCACCTGCGCAACTACTCCTGGGCAGGTAGAAATACACCTGACGGTATTTTCACCTGGTGGTATTTTCACCTGGCGGTGCCAACCTGGAACCGCATACTAGACTAGGTGCTTGCACGTTCTCCTTGAACAACGCTCTTTATGGACAACGTTCTCGTAGAACGTTCTCGCACACGTCACTATGTTTCCTATAAGGTTCAATTAATCAACTACTTTCCTTTCGTTAATGGATACCAAGCCTATTGCTGCATACCAAGCATACTGTTCTCCAAATACCAGTATCCGGTTTCCAGCAAGTCCGTACACGGAAAACTCGCACTTCACTTACTAATCGTGCAACTCTGCGCCTAGGCTCTCCCATAATCCCCTATTCTCTGTCAGAATATTATCTTATTGTTCTAGCCTGTAGTGGGGTGCTCTATAGCGAGTACAACCCTTCTAGGGTTTGCTATTTGTATCCTCATTCTTGCTAGTTCAATCCTCTTTCTTTCTTCTAATTTTGACATGCTATCAGAGCAGGTCGATCCCCTTGGATCGATCCTGTGGGTGTGTCCCCACCTTGCTTCCGCTGCTACTTTTTCCTCCCGCCGTGCGCCCCGAGGCGCGCGGCGGTTTTCTGCCCGCCGTGCGCCCCGAGGCGCGCGGCGGTTCATTGCCCGCTGTGCGCCCCGTGGCGCACGGCGGGCTTCTCCTCTACGTCGCGGCCCCGCCCCGGCCCGTCGCCGCCCGTGCGCCCGCTCGACGCGGCCCCGCTCTAAGTCGCGGCCCCGCCCCGGCCCGTCGCCGCTCGTGCGCCTGCCCGGCTCGGCCCCGCCCTACCTGCTCGGCCCCGCCCTTCGTCACGGCCCCGCCCCTCGAAGCGGCCCCGCCCTACGTCGCGGCCCCGCCCCGACCGTCGCGGCCCCGCCCCTTGTCGCGGCCCCGCCCTACATCGCGGCCCCGCCCCGCTCGTCGCGGCCCCGCCCCTTGTCGCGGCCCCGCCCTCCAACCAGGCTCGTGGTGGGCCCCTTTCACCACACCGCCTCCCCCCCCCCCCCCCCCTGCCATTTCCCGTCGTCCGTCGTGGCGACCTGAGGGGGCCGCTTGCGAGCTGTGGGGTGGCGGGTATGGGGGTGGTCGGTGTGCCTTCCTCCCTTTCTCCTCCTCCTCCTTCGTCTCCCACTGCTGCAGCTGTCGCTGAGGGGGGTGGTTGTGTGGGAGACTGGGTTTAGGGTTTAAGGGGGGTGCGTGGGAGTAGAGCTAGTGGTGTAGCAGTGGGTGTGTATCAGGGGGGTGGGACTGTGTGCGGGAGGATGAGCGGAGGTTGCCAGTTTGTCGTCAGCAGCACCTGTAGTCCGGGGCGCTGTCCCGGTAGCCCAGTCGTAGCCAGCTGTGCCAGCCGCCCGTGGGTCCGTTGCCCGTCCGCCGCTATTTGAGCCGCGGGGCCTGTTACTCCTGTAGTCCGGGCGATGTCCGGTAGCCGCTGTGCCAGTCTGCCTCCTGTTGCCCGTGTGTCTGCAGCTTCAGCCGTCGCCTCCTGTCTCCTCTCCCCTCACTCTCCCTCCTCCTCCTTCCTTGCCCGTTGTGACTACCACTAGCTTTGCTTATAATTGTGAACTCTAAACTATTTCTTCTTGACCTTGTGCTCAGAATGCGTGGTGACATTGTGATCCACCCTGAGCTTGTACTGTTTTGCCTGCTCTGCTGATTACACCCCACTTTGGCTATGGGGGTGTGTCAGAATATTATCTTATTGTTCTAGCCTGTAGTGGGGTGCTCTATAGCGAGTACAACCCTTCTAGGGTTTGCTATTTGTATCCTCATTCTTGCTAGTTCAATCCTCTTTCTTTCTTCTAATTTTGACATTCTCCGCATGGTGCGGTGAGCGTGGACGCATACGCGAACTTCAGATAGCCTCGAATACGATTGACAAAGTTGTCAACCTTGAGCCGGCAGCCACTTCGATTCCGTATGGTTGGCGAGGGCGCCACTACGGAAGTCATGGATCTGGAGGCGCAGGTCGCTACTTTGAGGGAGCGCCACAGTCGTGGCGAAATCAGCGACGCGGATCTGGAGTTGATGATCGAAGGAGCTCGTTCGAAGTGGGCTCGCGATCACCCACCTCTTCGCGCTGAGGCGGAAATTGAGTCCGCTTCTCCCCGTGCTGAAGGCGAAAACGTCAACATCGATGGCAATGAAGGCGCAAGAGTGACGCGCGGTGAACTGCAAGGGGCCGTCAGAGTGCACACCGCGAGTGTCGGTGGAACGCAAGTGCAAGTCCTTCGGTTAGCCGCTGCAGCGAGTGTGCGTAGTGACGCGCATGGTCGTCGCAACCCTGCACGACCAAGTGGTGGCGGACCCTCTTGGACGGCAAATGCGTCAACCGTACGCGATGTTGGAATTACTCCGGAATACGGATTCTTCAAGTTCTCGCCCGACAAGATCGTCGTACCAAAACTACCTGAAGGGCGTCATGACTTGACAACGTGGGTCGAGTCTATTGAACCGCAGTTGGAGATCGCGCAGATGAAGAAGTTCGTTGACGGCACGGTGGAGGTGTCGCCTGAAGATGACGCTTAGCGACGCGCACAGTTTCATTCTGCACAGCTGTTGACGTTTATGGTCATCTCAAGATGTTGCTCGCCGGTCATCCAAGTAGCATTGAAGCCATGCCGTCTCCGGGTGGACGTTGGTTTTCAAGCTTGGCAATTCATTATGAAGACCTACAAAGCAACGGATGACCTTAACATCAGCCAGCTGGAGCAACGGTTGACAAATCTGGAGATGGGGGAGCACGAAAGTGCAATCGCATACTGCAATCGCGCACAACAGATTCTTGCAGATCTGTCGATGGCTGGCGTGGACTACTCAATGTCTTCGTACGTCACGCATGTCATCAAAGGTCTGCCTGCAAGCTACAATCTCCTTCGACGCATGGTGAAACTCCCAGGTGTGCAAGAAGAGCTCGACGAGGATACGCTTTCGAGCTACATCATTGAAGAGGATTTTACACTTGAATCCGAGCGGCGCAAGGAGCAGCTTCTCCCTCAAGTCAACAATGTCGCGCCGAAGCAGCAGCGGCAGCAACAGAAGTGGGCGAAATCGCGCGGAGGAGGCGACAACGACAAACAAGTCAACCGCGCGAAGACGACCAAAAGTGATGAGCGCTCAGGTGGCGGAAAGCGCAACTCTCCACGATAGTGCTTCGTTTGTGGAGATCCCGACCACTTCGCAAACCAATGCCCGGACCGCGTCATCAGGGGAGGATGGTGATGGCCAAGAAGCTCCGCGCGAACGATCGCAATATCGTCAACCTCGTCGCGAAACCGCATACCGCGAGGACAACCAGCACTCTGATTCCGAGGACGAGCAGCCGTCGGATGCCGGAACCTCCCGCGGAAAGGGTGTGAAGGACACCCCAAGTGACGATCTGGAGCAAACAGGGCAAGCATCGTGTTCAATGTGTGAAATGAGTAAGCAGGAATGAATGAACTATGAATGAAAGCAGTACAAATATGAAACCCTAACTGGGTTGTACCCCCTATGGGATACCCCACTACAGCCTACACAGCAGTATAAGCTATAGATATGTTCTGACACACCCCCATAGGCAAAGTGGGGGAGAACAAGGGGTCACAAGACCAGTCAAGCAAGACAAAGCAAAGCTCAGGGTGGATCACAAAGTCACCACACAGTCCGAGCACAAGAGCAAGGCCAAAGGCCAGTTCACAAGCAAGAGTACAGACATATATATAAAGCTAGACAAGCAAGAGCAGGTATATATATATGTCACAGTACAAGTGAAGTCAAGAGGAGAGCAAGTGAGGCAAGACAGGCACAAGACCCAGCTGGGTGCAGAAGCGCTGATGGTCACAAGGCGCAAGTGCCTTGGTGAACACATCAGCAGTGTTGGCCTCAGAGGCCACGTACGCAAGTCGCAACTGACCACGCTGCTGCAGCTCACGAGCAAGGAAGTAGCGGAGAGCAATGTGCTTCGTTCTGTGCTCCAAGCGCTGCTCTCGACACAAGGCCAGCATAGCCTTGTTGTCTACGTACAGCACTGGAGGAGAACGAGGCGGCTCTCCAAGGTCAGTCAGCAGGTAGGTGAGCCAGCGAAGCTCCTGTGCAGCCATGGCCCCGGCGTAGATCTCAGCCTCACAACTGGAGCCGAGAACCGAAGACGAGCGAGTAGACCGCCACGAGACAGAGCCGGAACCAAGGCTGAAGGTGTAACCCTGTGACGACCGCTGCGTAGCCTGGTCGTCAGCCCAAGACGCGTCCGCGTGGCCGGTAAGGACCACTGGACCCCGCCCTCCAAGCACTAGCCCCATGCCTGACGTACTGCACAGGTAGCGCAATACCCTCTTCGCTGCAGCCATGTGCTCCGGTCTGTGTCTCCCAGGAGCAACATAGCGTGCAAGAATGCTCAGAGGGTATGCAAGGTCAGGTCGTGTGCAGGTCATCAGGTACATGAGGCAGCCAACAAGCTCCGCATACGGACCACTCGACTCTACGGACTCATCCGAAGGCAGAGCTGAGAGTGAGTGGCGAGTAGGCAGAGGAGTGGCCTGAGGCGAGGAGTACGTGAAGCCGAAGCGCTGAAGGACCTGCTGCACCATGTGTGACTGAGTCAAGGTAATGGTGTGGCGTGCTCTGTCCCGAGTGATCTGCAAGCCAAGGTAGCTGCGCAGTTCACCCAGGTCTGTGCACGTGTGTCTCTTCAACAGCTCGGACTT